GTATGGGGGCATTGGGGGCTGCTATGGGGGTGTTGGTGGGGTTATTAGGGATACCGACGACCCCTGACCGGTAGGTGCCGACCAGCCGACCGGTCGGCGGGTCGGCAGCCGACCGGTCAAGGGCCGCCCGACCGTTGGGTGTGCAACACCGCGTGCAATGTATACTTTGGTTGCTATATCTTGAGCTTTGGCATTTTGAAGTAATGGAAAGTTACCAAAGAAACATGAGAAAGGTAGTCGAAGGAAGGGGGAGGCAAGGGAAGATGGGGAAAGCCGCAAAATGTCACACCTTTTTGCCACACTTCCAAACACTCCTACTCTGAAATATTATTGGTATGATCCTGCTCAGATTGACACCCAGTTTGCATCCATCATGCACGCCAAGTACACATGACAAACTACTGTCTTCCATCTGAACATAACGCATATGCGTTGTAAACGAATACAACGACGCATACCATGTGTTATATTTGTTTACAATGCCTATGCATTTTATTGGAGGTCATGAGAGCAACTTTACAGACAGCAGGGGGTCCGGTCCAGGCTGAGTAGGCTCAGTTCTGGACCGTGGAACTCAAAGAAACCGGGAAAAATTTTGTGTTGTGGCCGAAGATTCACTCCTTTTAGGTACTTGGGGCCTCGCTCCACTCCTCAGCAAATGTGCAAAATGAGAATGAATCTTTCACTAGAACATGGAAAGATACAATGCTGTGCTTTCTGTCTTTTTTGCTGTTGGTGAGTAGTGGAGTGGGGCCCTGGTGAGTGGTGGAGTGAGGCACGTCTCCCTCCTGGCATCAGCTTTCCACTTTCTTCCCCTCACGACCACTTTCTTGGCTGTCACACAGGAATGGGGTGCGCAGAGACACACACACACACAGACACAGAGAGAGAGAGAGAGAGAGAGAGAGAGAGAGAGAGAGAGAGAGAGAGAGAGAGAGAGAGGGTGAGGCAAGGGTGCTGCATGGGAGTCCTCATCTTGTGCTCCTTTTCTTTGTTTTTTTTTAAACACGCGTTCCTTTTTTTCTTTCTATTCTTCTCTCATTTCTCCTCCCCCCCCTCCTCTATTCTTCTCCCTTTTCTTGTTCAGAGGTGGCTGAATTGTGTTTCTTGTTGATCCATAGCTCACACATGTTTATGCATGCATGAGAGTGTACGCCTCGTTATGTGCATGTGAGGTCTTGTGCGGGGCAATCTTTTATTTCATACTTGCGGCGCATCCCGTGTGCGGGGCCGCGGCGATGTGTCGCAGAGCGCATGCGCATGCACGCGTGTGCACGTGATGAGGCGCATCACCAAAAAAACAAACAAAAAAAAAAATTGAAAGGACAGGGTGGGGTGGCCAAACATGCCCCTTGCTTCTAAAAATCAGAAAGCAAGAGGGAAAAAAGTCGGTGCCACGCCATACCCCAAAACTGTGGGCACATGTCTGTGCGTGTGGGTGTGCATGTATTAATTGTGTCCAGTCTCTTTTCCAAAGGGCCCGTACAGCGAATTGGTGAGGACCCCAGGTGGAGCAGAGATAGACTTTAGACTTCCAGTTTGTATGCATGGGCCGAGAATATATAGTCTGGATTCAAATTCAGGTCTGTGCATCACGGTTATGGGTCGGTAATTCTTTTTTTTTATTATTATTTATTATTATTATTATAAAGGGTGAAAGAATTTGGACCATTTCTCGATTTGTGTGTGTCATCCTTGCGCAGGGGCCATGCTAATCTTCTCTGTTTCGTTCCAATTTTAACGGATGTCCCGAAGGATGTAATTCTAATTCTAATTCTAATTAAGTAATTCTCTTTTTTGAAGTTTTTTCTCGTTTTTCTTTTCTTAGGAATACGTGCAGTGGAAAAAAAAAAAAACGTGCAGTGGCCCTAAGGGCCTCTACTCACCACATGCACAAAAGACAAAACATATGGCGGCGTATTATTGCACGTTTGGTCGGTAATTCTCTTTTTTGAGTTTTTCTCGTTTTTCTTTTCTTAGGAATACGTGCAGTGGCCCTAAGGGCCTCTACTCACCACATGCACAAAAGACAAAATATGGCGGCGTATTATTCCACGTTCTAGCAGAAGATTCGTTCTAACTTTGCACATTTGGTGAGTAGTGCAGCCAAGCCCGAGAATCACGTGCACAGACCAACATGGCCTTAGCTAAGTGAGCATCCCGTAACTGCTGAAACACAGACCTGAATTCGAATCCTGACTATATATTCGGCCAGCTCGTGCTTCACTTCATATTCACTGCCTGCCAGCGCTTTGCTGCGAGGACCTTTCAGATTACCTGCATGGGCCCTCTGATACGTGTGAAGGGGATCCGTTGCTCTCTCTCTCTCTCTGTATACGCACACACACACCTCCACCCTCCCCTCCACTCCCTTTGTACTACTAACAAATACATACGAATGAGCATTATGAAGAGAATAGACGATATGAAGATCAGAAATGAAATGAACGGAAGGATGAAGATGAAGGACGGGCACAAAGACTGTATAAGCTGAAGATCTGAAGTGAAATGAACAGGAGTATGAAGCTCTGAAGAGATGCACAGGAGCGTACCTTCCCTTTTACCCTGCCTCCTGAAATAACGTGCAAGTGGGCCGTGAAGGCACACGGGGATGTGGGCAGCTGCCGCTCAACCACAATCAACATGGGCAGCCTTGTGCGTAAGAGGCACAGTAAAAGGGGAGCTGCAAGAACAATGAAAGAGGTACCCCAAGGACAACCGAAAAACTGTCTAATTATTTTCGAATAGAACTTATTATAGAAGGCATATCCATTTGATTCAAATAGAAAGCATATTCATCATATTTGAAGTGCCCTTCTTTTTGGAAAACTCGAATACAACGCATATGCGCTATGTTTTGGGGAAGGCGTTTGTAACTTTGTAAGTTGAAGCAATGAGAGAGAGATCAGATGAAACTCGAAATTGTTATTGCAATATACAAATTGTCACAATAATTCCGAACAGCAGGTACAGGGCAGTCAAACACACCACACATATACGCTCCCTCTTTGACTCTCTCTCTCTCTCTCTCTCTCTCTCTCTCTCTCTCTCTCTCTCTCCTACTCCTACTCCTACTACTACTACTACTGCCTTCCTTCCTGGTCACTGAAGCTGTAGCTATGGCACACAGCACCAATGGCTTCTCCAGTGCAAGCAACCAGCAGTGCTTCTGCAACATACAAATGAACCAGTGCGTCTCCAGGTACTCTAGCAGCCTTTTGTATTCGCCGCAATTGATAATCTTGTTTGTTCCGGACCGTTTACCTTCCATCCATTGTCCGGAATGTCGACAACTGTCGTAGCTCTCTCTTAGTACGACACAATGTTCAAGGCTCTTGCGCAGCTCGTTCTTAGAATACCCTTTGTCATCCTCGGGTTCTCGGTACTGGAACTGTACCTTGTACTGTGGCTGCGGTCTTCCGCTCCTTCCAGACTTATGGACATCCTCGTCCATTGGTCTATGTCGCAATGGCCATCCATAACAGGGTGAACCACACCTCTGAGTGATGGAAATGAGTCATTTGTCACGCGTAGGGTAACAACTTCAGAGGCATGGAACACAGGGTAAGTGTGCAGGTGGGGAGGTGTGTCGTCAACATTGGATAGCAACTTCTGAGAACTCCCCTCTTCGGGTAGAAACTCTTTACACTTGACCCAGACATAATCTCCGACAAGTTGCGACACCAGAGGTGGAGAGTCTGTGGTGCTTATTAGCCTGTTCTACCGTCTTTTGTTGTGCATGTCTGATATTTTCTGCAACTTTCTGTAGGTCTTCCTTCCCTTGTGCAGTTCGTCTGGAGTACGCCCAGGTGACAGATGTACAGAACTATTGTACGCGGTTAGCTACCTTGGAAAGATGGTCTTCCCTATCAATTTGATCTGGCCTAGTGCACATACGTAGAGGCTGCTGTAACAATCTAGGATTATCTAGCCCCATAGACTTAGGGTGTCTATAGGGTCACATACGCAGAGGCCGCTGTAACAACCTAGCCCCATATAGACGTAGGTGTCTATAGGTTGACATAGCTAACTTAGCCCCATAGACTTTTCATTAGCTGTTACCGGTGTTCTCCCATGAACCTAAAGTCTCTATCGCTGAATATAGTTAGAGGGTGCCCATCTTCCTTCACCGAATGTGCAAAGAACTCGCGAATGACTATATCTGTCCTTCCCTCGGTTGGCAGCGGAACAGAAACAACAAACTTACTAAATCTATAAACTATGACCATTACCTGACTTCTTCCATTCCTAATCTTCACCTTCTTAACCATGAAGTCTGTAGACACAGATTCTTCAGGTCCTGACGGTACAGTAGTTCTAACGGGAGCTGTGTTGTGCTTTTCTTACGCTGGCACACTTTGCAACCTTGTGTATACTGGATACGGTCGTTCTTGGATCACATGTAAGATCACAACAGTTAGCCTAAGTCTTTCTCCAACCGAAGTGCGCTTCTTCTGTATCA